AAAATATATTGGAAGAAATTTGGTGGGTTTCTTTTCCTTCCTTGGTTTGTTTTAGTAATACTTCTTGATAAGTCTTTAATTTGAAAAGTGTATGTGCATATATTTGCATTCAACCAATCACATTTATCCAATCCAAAAGTTACCTGTCAGTAATTGTAGAGTTTTTGAAATCTCATCATTGGTCAATCTCTAGGGCTTATTTTAGTACTAATGGAAACATACTATTAATCCTTTTTATTTGTTCTTTACAAGACTTGTGATTATAGTTATCTCCGTGCAACATTTTATTAGTTTGTTTCTCCCACAGGAATGGCAGCTCCATTAACAAGGACTTTCATTTCTTGTGTTCACTGCTATATATCAACTGTCTAAAATGATGCCAGGCACATAGTAGTCACTTAGTTTTGAAGTGAATAAATTCAAATCAAAATTGAACATTTGAATGAATGAACAGTATTTACTTAAATATATGTAAATTTAATAAGGAGTTAAGGATTTGACTGGGAACTTAAAGTCCCTGTAGTCCAGTCTTCATAACTATTTTGGAGTCATGAAACTCATCATTACAGTCCTACCTTATTTTATCTTCCTTATTCAATTATCAGGTTCTTTGTTCTAATCTACATATCATTGCATAGTTTTTCTCCATTTGTAAGATCTATTGGTAGTTTTCAAGGATTGTGGAACCACTTACCAGTTTCTAGAGAACTGTGATGAGATTGTGACATTGATCGATCGTATGTATGTTTTACTCTTCAGCAGAAATGGACTCCTGTGGCTGACTTCACGCACCATGCCCACACGGCCTCTTTGTCAGCCGTGGCTGCAAATAGTCGTTTTGTAGTCACTGGGAGCAAAGATGAAACAATCCATATTTATGACATGAAAAAGAAGATAGACCATGGGGCTCTAGTGCATCACAATGGTAAGAAATTAGATCCTTCAAGATAATAATGTTGCGGTATTATTACTTTACAGTTTGACTTTAGTTGCACAATTCATTAAGCAGATTCTGTGCTAGGAAATACAGAAATGAAAAAAAATGTTCTTTGTCCTTAAGTTGTTCACAGTCGGTGTTGAGAGAGAGAAAGGGGTTGGGGTGAGGGAAGGAGGAAATGAATTTTCACTGAAAACTTCCTTAAAAGAGGAATATCAGTTGTTAGCCAGGTGAAGTTTGCAAAGAGGGAAGGCATTGCTGGCAGAACACGCACATGAGGAGCACAGGTAGCAGCAGCATATTGATAGCTAGCTTTACTGAAGGGGTAGCATGCACCCAGCAGTGGGCCACATAGGTACAGTCCTATTTTCAGTTTATAGAAGAGAAAACCTTGGTTCAAAGATGTTACCTGACTTGCCCAAGGTCACAGTACAGTGGAACTAGAAGTTGAATCTGGTTCTAGAGCCCATATTTTTAATCACTAGTGTGCATGGGAAGCTGCAAGCAGGTCAGTATTACAACAAGGATAAAGTGAAGGTTGGGGTGGCTGAAGAAGTGGATGGGGCCAAATCCTGGTGGCCCTTGCGAGGAGGAGGTTATGGATTGAATGGGAGGGAGGAGTGTTCTCGGTTTGAGGAAAGTGCTGGCAGTTTGGATATGAAAGAGGTCCTGACTAAGAAAAGCAAAAGCACTGATGAGAGCTGCCCAAGTGAATTCTGAGGCTGTGATTTGGTAACATCACTGCAGTGAGCTACAGGCATTTCTGTAGAGCAAGGCAAGTTACTTGGTTTGTGCAACAGAAGGACTGAGTTACAGGGGAATTCATTTTGGTGAAAGGATAGTTTAGGTTTCCAGCTTAGGGAAAATGGGTTGTTAAGGGTCTGCAGATCTCTGAACTAAGAAAGCAAGCGGAGTGTGAGTGATGGAAGGCATGAAAGGTCTGGAAAGACGTGAGTTGTGGTCAGAGAATAGAGTCTTAGAGTTCAAGAGTTCTGATGTGAGCAGCTCTAGGTGGCAGCAGTGTGCAGGCTGTGGGTGTGAGGGACTCAAATACAGGGAAGGCAAAGGTCGCTGGACTTGAAGAGGTCGTGGTTGGGCTTTCCACACAGATGGTGCAGTTGCCCAGGAAAGTGGCAAGATCGAGCAATAGAAAGACCTGACAGGTCATTTATTTTCTCAGTATTGAACTAATGTTAGATTATATTCTATTGTCATTGCTTTTTCCCGAAGACAAAGAATGATGGGATGGGTTCAACATGTGTTCAAGAAAAGGGAATGGAAAGGAAGAACTCAAATGAGTAGAATCAGCTGATATGTACTTAGTTTAAGGAAACTCAGCCAAGGAAGCTGGTTTCCTGCAGTTAAGATAGGAACCCTTTTTCCTATCCTGTCTTCATATATTTTAGAAGTTCCGCCCAAGCATTGGTATCTAGTAGTAAGTTTGGAGTGACCAATGTCTGTGTTAAATTAGGTAGGCCTTAGCTACTTTGACAAGTATCTTTTCAACAGAAGCTAGGCTTTGAGTCATTTTGACAAGTATTTCTTTTCCTCCCTGTCTTCTAAATCCAGGTTATATAAGGAAGGCTTCTCTCTTTCTAAGGCTTGGAAGAAGTAATTTAAACAAAACTCGTCTGTCCAAACCCATCAGTACAGGTGTTCAACAATAAGAAAAGGACTTTGTGAGGAGTTTGGATGGGGGGGGGGGGGGGGGACCCCTGCTTTCCTATTTTCCTCACAGAAATTCTGGTTTTCTACCAGTTGATAATAAGTTCTTTACCAGGGAGCAGAAGGAGTAGAAGATAAGGGAAAGCAAAATATCCAGAATAGTAAATAGGATAATAGAGAAACAGGAAAACACCAGCAAAAGATAGCTAAAGCCTCCCACTGTGAGAAGGTGGTGTGTGAGCCCGTTACAGTCTGAGAACGGTAAGGTCGGGTGGTGGTACAGCATTATTCCTCAGAGACTTTTGGCTCTTTCCATCTACAGGGCAACGTAAAGGGTTGGCCAGGAGGTGTGCACTTGAACAGTAGTGGCCCAGGGTTCACATTCTTAGTCCATAAGTGACAAGGCAGTAATATTTAGGCTTGTGGCCTTATGGTGTCTGTTACCATTACTCACCTCTACCGTTGTAGCACCAGAGCAGCCATCGGTGTCTAGTAGCAGAATGAGTAAGGCTGTGTTCCAGGACACCTGCATTTACTCCAGCTCCTCCGGCCAGATTTGGGCTGCTGACCCCTGAGCTATAGGGTAAAAGGTGGCTGACACAAGCTTCAAAGGATAGGGAATTTTCCTTGAGGGTAAATGTATAAAGGCATAGACTGCTTTGGGGAGCTAGAGGAATGTTGGGTTATTCCATCAATTCACCTCCTTCAGCCTTTTGATATTTGAACTATGGGAGGAGATAGAGGGCATAGTGGAGGAGTGTAACATTTAAGTTCTTATGACAGTGAATGAGAACTGTATAGAAGTCAGTTCAGAAACAGCCCTGCAATGATAATAGGATTGTGGATGATTGGGTAGCTGATAGTTTAGCAAGTAGAAGTCATATGCTGTGTATCTCAGCTTGTTCCCCCAGGTTAGCTGTTAGCTGGTTAGTTTTGTTTGACTCCTTAAATATCGTTACCAGCTATCTTCTAAATTTATGATTATGGGAATGTAGAGCAAAAAAGTGAACTGGTCAGTTCAAATCTATATCTACAGCTAGAAAAACTCTGCTGACAATATTTGCATAGGCTTGAACCTATTATATTAAAAAATTAATTTTTCCACAAGTCGTTATGGTTTAATTCAGTAATACTTCCATTGGATGTTTTCTTACCACAATACAGCCTTCAAACCAGAAGTGGATTTGCATTCAAAATATTAATTTTCAATATTAATTTTGCCTATTTTGTTTTTCCACAGGCACAATAACTTGCCTGAAATTCCACGGCAACAGGCACTTAATTAGTGGGGCGGAAGATGGACTCATTTGTGTCTGGGATGCAAAGAAATGGGAGTGCCTGAAGTCGATTAAGGCACACAAGTGAGTCCTGCCCTTTCTGGTTGGTGGTCTCCAGGCGCCAGTCAAGCTGGGGGCTAACTCTTGGTTTCCTTTTAGAGGACATGTGACCTTTCTTTCTATTCACCCATCTGGCAAGTTGGCCCTGTCTGTGGGAACAGATAAGACATTAAGGTAAGTCATTAATGCCCAAGAGCCTCTCTACTTAGTTGTGGTCTTTGCTCTCTGAGTACAACAGGAACCCCAAAAATATTGTGATATAAGGAAAGGTTGAAAGCTAGTGAACCTTTTTATAATGGGAGGGGAAAGTGACAAGCTCTATATTCAGACATATACGTTACCTTTCAGTCATTGTAGGCTGAAGTGAAGAGGAGCGTGGTCCTGAAAAGTAATGTTTTAGGAGGTGAAACCTTTTGAAAATATATTAAAGGGATGTAGGAATATCCTTTGCTATAGAAAAAATGGCCATTCTTCGGAATAGCCATGTATTTAGTAAATTTTCATTTGAGTAAGTCTTCATTATGCTTACCTTTATATTTAGTAAAAGTTAGTGATCGTGCCATAAGTGAGCTTCTTGTTTTACAGAACATGGAATCTTGTGGAAGGAAGATCGGCATTCATAAAAAATATAAAACAGAGTGAGTATTTTTGTTTGTAATGTGAATACACACACATTAGTCTTTGCCTGCTCGCTGGTGGTTACTTCTGAGAGCAAATGCTTTGGATTACTTGCTTTCTTCATTTTATT